AATTACTCGGTTGCGGTTTGTTTTCTTACTTTATTGTAAGGGATTTGTATTCTTGGTGTTGGGATTACACCAAGTGGTAGAAATCCTAACGGTTTGTGAAATCAAACGTTAGGTGGAAGAAATCCTGAGTTTTGTGAAATCAAAACTTCGGTGGTAAGATAAGAGGCTTGTGAAATCAAGTTCTCGAGTTGTATTCGGATTGTCAAACTCCGTTAAGTTTGACGGGTTAGTGAAGGTCTGGGCACGATTGCTTCGGGGACTGGATGTAGGCATTTAGGCCGAACCAGTATATATCGTGTGTGCATTGCTCTTATCCTTCACTTTATTTTGTTTGTGGTGTATTGTTTTTATTTAATATTCGTGAAGAACGTTTCCGCGCAAAAAAAATTGGTCTTTTGGGCAACACCTCTATTCACCCCCTATAGAGGTGTGCGAGGCGTCTAACATGGGAAGGTTGCCCACCTCCTTTTGTTGTTATTCTTCTTTTGAACTAATGTTAATGCTTCTTCACTAAAAAAAAAGTTATGAAATCAAGTTACATTTGTTTGTTTGTTTTTTCCTTCTTTTTTTAAACCATTTGGAATAAATGATTTTTGTGGTCATTTGTATGGTGTTATAGTGGTATTGGCTTCTTATTATATACTCGGCACTTCATTACCTAAAAAAATTCCATTACCTTGGTTATTACTTTGTAATATTCTTAAATAAGACTCTAAACCCATATTGTTAACCTTTAATCATTTTTTCATCTTTTTTTTATTAGTCATTTGATAATATAATATACTCGTATTATCACTTGTTTTATAGAGTTTAGATATACGGAGTAGTTTTTAAATAGAGTATATATTTTTTATCTTTTAACTTAAATCTATAATCAAATAAATTAAATTTTAAAAAAATTATGTCAAATTAAATCTCATAATTCAAAATGTGAAAACTATTTTAAAACAGTGGGACAATTATCTTTAATAACAGTAACTTGGTAATTGGGGTCCTTAGGCCATCTCCAATGGGATGCCCAAAGGAGATGTTAGGAAGAGAGAAAGAATGAATGAGATATTGGTGGATGCTATTATTGTAGGTAGATACGAAATAAAGATGCTCAAAGACGAGAACGAAAGGAAGATGTTTGGCCTAACACCGAATGCTTGAGAATGGAAGAATTGCAAGCATTTAAATAAGATATGGCAATATTCTAGAATTCAAACTCTTTTTTAATCGAACGACTCCTTTTTTATTTGTTATGAAAAACTCTTAGATATTTGTTTTTTTGTTTCTTTTGAAGCAATACTAACTACATCGTATATTAATTATACAAAACAATATTTTAAAATGTTTTATAAGATAGATCTAAGAATATTTTTGTATAAATATCTAATATAAACTTTATTTAATTAAAGACCAAAGTTTATTTATATTAAAGACCAAAGTTTTTTTAATTTCAAATGTAAAAAGTCATGATTTGATAAATATTCTAAAACGAAGGTACTATTAATAATTATGAGTAAATAAATAATTTTAACTAATAATTTATCATAATAATTTTAAAAAAATAAAATATAATTATATTTTTGTGGACCCAATACATTCATTGAATAGAATGAGTCATCCATATGAGATGTCACATTAAAAGATTTGGAAATTGAGAAAGATGTTCAATTCGCATTTTTGAAGTAGAGCCCGCACTTGAACATCTAGTGAAAAATGCTATCATTGTGGATGCTCTTATATGATTAGTTCATCATTTGTCTTTAACCGCGTAAAGTAACTTTCTAGTTTCTATTCCATTCGTTCCAAAATTATATTCTGAATTTGATTTCACACATTTTTAATAAAGTGAATATAATGTGATTAATGTTTTTACTTAAAAGAAAAAATGAACCACATAATTCTAAATTGAAAACAGAATATAGAACAATTCGAATAGAAAAGCAGAACATCATTAGGGAGGAAAGAGTAATTTGTATTGCCATGTATGTTTATATTTGGTACTTATTCAACAAGAATAGTTGAATATGCTGAACTTTTTTTACTAGTAAAAAGAATAATGTTTTGGTTTCATATTCCACACAAATACCTAAGACAAACACCTTTTACCTTTCTCCTTCAAGCCAACAACATCTTGGCAGCCTATATAGAGCCTTATACATATAATTACATGCTCTTCCAGTTCTGATCATCACTTCCGATGCCCCGCCGAAGCCATCAAAACCGCGACTGCCACCACAAACATAAAGATCATACCAAACAGGAACGCGTACGTTCTTCTCGATGATCTTCGGTATTCTCCAAACAAAAGCACGCCCCAAAATGTGCTCACAAGCGGTAATGCCTGAAATCACAAATATCAAATGTTAGAGTTCATCTAGAGCTGACAAATTCGTCGGTCATGTTGGGTTCGTGTTCGGGTCATTCAGGTTCAGGCTACTTTGTTGTTCAAAACCCAGTACTTAAAGGTCAGATATCGAGTCAAGAAGAGTTCGGATCAATTTTTGTCAGGTCAAAAATCATGTAATTGGCTTATGCTGAGCAAAGCGTTTGAGACGGATGGACTAACCTGAACTGCATCAGCAGCAGCATATCCAGCAGCTTGGCCTCCCATGAACTGGAGCCCATTGCCGAACCCGCACAAAAGGCCCGCCAACAAGGCCCAACCTCGCCCGTTCCAGTCGGACAAGTAGGCCTTGAAGGACGATTTGGGCCCGTTAAGCACGGGACGGTACAGAAAAACGACGTTGAGAACGATAGCAAGAAAGAAACAAGAGAGTGAGAAGTAGAAAAAAGCGGTGTAGACACTCAAGTGTGGAACTCCATCTTTTAGTGTGCGCCATTGATCATTTGTTGCAAGGTTGAACGCCGGGGAGAAGAGAGAAAAGCAAATCCCCGAGAAGAGCGTTATCCCCAGACCGATCATAGTTCCCTTCCCCAAAACCTGCAACCAAACAAGAAGAAACGCCGCGAATATTTTTCAATTCTAAGGCCTGTAGAATCAAGAGATTTCAATCCAAAACCAATTGGCAATGAGATGAGTAACTCGTACTCGTATATATTACGGAGTTATTTTTTGTAGTCTAAGTGTTCGATGTCGGGCTATGTTTTCTTTTCGCCCTCGCCCGAGATGTAGAATTATGATATTCCAACTCAAAACCAATTATCCTACGAGTAGCGCCCTTCGCAAAACTAGTCTTGTTTTTGCACTTTTTGGCCATTTGAGTGCTCAAACTGCCGAAAGTGCAAAAATAACTCTTTTGCAGGGGATGTATTTACAGGAAAGAAAATTGCATTTTAGCCAAAATTATGTAAAGAATAAAAGAGAAAGGGTGAAGTGACAACCTTAATTGACCTTTTGTTCTCAAGCTCTATAAGGAAGAGTGCTGTCCCAAACTTTGCCTTCTCCACAGAAGCAATTCCATTCTCCAAATCTTTATTCCCAACTGTAGATTTCTTTATTCATCAAATTTTTTTTTGAAATAAATAAAACAAAAAAAAAACAGTGAAAACCCAAAGTATGCACATTACCTGAGTTCTTATGAGCCTCCACAGACACAGATGAGCTGGGGTTCCTATCAATGAAGAGCATACTTAAATTTTAAAACCTATGCAATAACCACAATTTCTATTCACCGGGTCAAATTTTAAGAATCGGCAAGGCTTCGATAACACGTGAAGGGATGCCGAGGAATGATTATATATTCAAACAAGCAATAGATTACATTCATTGGCGAAACATACAAAGCAGTGCGGTTAGAATTGCACGAGAAGCCGTTGAGCTTTTTGTCATTATCCGCGGCATTAGATGCATGGACGACAGAGCCCAGACAAACCGCGATCAAGAAACATCCGACGCCGGGAAAAAGAACCGCGGCCTTGTTGATCTTGTCATCCAAATAGTAATTCAATGTTGTTCCTGTCATTATAAGTTCATAACATTGGCAAAAGCATAATCAGAAGAAAAACAACAGAAAGAAAGTCAAGTAGTTTTTTTTAATCCTTAAGGAAAAGATGTGGGTTTAATTACCTATAACCACAGTGATGCTGGAACTGACAACCTCAGTTACTGACAAACCAACCAATGCCCAAGCATATTGAGTTGCCAGGTTCCCCAGGCTGAGGACCACCCCGCCCGCCATTGCAAACAACACGCTCGACCAGTTCTCCTACAAGAATTTTCGATAGAACTTACAATTTAGTAAGACACTTTGGTGAATCCACTAATCGATTACCCAATTCAACTAAAGGTCGTTCAACAACAACATAAAATACAGTGAAATCCCACAAGAATAGGGTCTGAGGAGGGTACAGAGAGGTTGTTTCCAAGAAACGCTCGAAAGCAGGAACACGGACAAAGTAAACACAATGGCTCAAACAAATAAAAGGAAGAGTTCGATGAGGTGTGACCTGAGGGAGTTGGGAGAGGAAATTGGGAGTTTCGGATCCCATCTGGCCGAAAGTGAGGGCGATGATGAGAGCAGCGAGGAGATTGGTGAGCGTGTAGTCGAGGTACGTGTGTTGAGGGAGACGGCCCCGCCTTTCGAGCAGGGTCAACAGAGCTGGCCATGTCCCCAAGAACAGAAGAGCCACCACCATACACAATATTGCCCCTCCTTTGCTCTCCACCAAATACATCTTTTCACTGCCCCCATTTTAACACAAGCATAACAAAAGGACAAGTTCAGTAAAGAGGGGGGAAAAACAGACATAAATGAATGAATGATTCAAGGCAATATGAATACATGTAGAAACGAAAGCAGAGATAGAAACATGAGAAGAACATATGAGTTAGTTACCTAGGATCGATTGATTACAGAATCTTGGATGAGATTCACCGCCGCTCCAAGAAATTTGGAAAATCTGAATCAGTGTTAAGATTCAATGGATCTGACAAAAAAACATAGGAGGCAGAAAAGTGGGGTTTTCCGGAGGAGGCAGTTATAACAACAGGAACAGCAAGTAGTCGTAGTACGAGAGAAGAGAGAGGCCAATCAATAAAACCGCAGAGATTCTTCGGGAGGAGATAACTACCTGAGATTCGCTTAGGAGAGTGCTTGGGGGGAATCTATCTTACTCAGATTCCGTGATGGATTAAGGTATTTAGGATTAATACCCCAACATTTATACCCAATTTGTACCCCGCAGGTTTACACTAGCATTTTGTATTGGTGTAAAACTAATTTTTGTTAACGCACCAACATTTGTGTCCGTGTAAATTTTTGTTAATGCACCGACATTTGTATCGGTATAAAACATCAAAATGTTTGTGCAAAACTGTGGTATACAAGTGAGGTAAATTTTTTGGTGTAATTGTAGCATGTTCCAGGTATTTCACTCTAAAATTTGTACTCATTTTGTACCTCGAAAGTATGCAATGACTTACATTGACGAAAAATGTTAGTGCATTTTTTTTAATTGAACTAACATTTTCTGTCAGTTTGAACAGTTAAAATCAGGGGTGTTCATTCGATAAAACCGTACCGAACCGAACCGAAATTTCGGTAAACCAAAAATTCAGTAATACTATATTCGTACCGAATACCGAACCGTATTCAATCGGTTCGGTACGGTTAATACCGAAATTATTTTGGTTTGGTATTCGGTAATACCGAAAAAACCAAAAAATTCATTTTTTTTCATTTATACTTCACTTTTGTTATTATTTTCAATTTGTACCACAAGCAATCTCATTCAACATTTAAAGAAATTAGAAATACTTTATATTTTTTTAGCTATAGTTAGTCATAAATTACTTAGTTTTTCATATTATTAAAAGATTATCGAAACACATGATTTTGATCTTATAAAAAACCGAAATATAAAAAAGAAATAAAAAATGTTTAAAAGATCTTACCTTTAGTCATCGATAATTTATTGCCTACGAAGTGAGGTCAATGTATTGATCATTTAGAATAAATGAAACAAAAAAGAATAAATTCTCTAAATAGTCCTTTATAAATAGGGGGTTTCCATATTTAGGCCACATTTATCAAATATTAAGTAGATAGTCCTTATTAATTAGGTATCATTTCACGTTTAGTCCTTCGTCTATTTTTTCGTCCCCGTGCCGTTAGACAAGGACCAAACGTGGAATGGTACCCAATCAATAAGGACCATGAAAATAATATCTGATAAGATGGACTAAATATGAAAATTTCCCGTTACAAAGGACTATTTTGAGAATTTGTTCTTTTTAAACCACTTTAATTTTAATATAAAAAATTAAAAGATAAGAAAAATGTATAACTATAGTTTATTTATAAAAAAAAACATTTTTTAATACGAGAATCCGTTTGAAATTGATAGGAATTAAAAAGAAATTTGAAGTTATTATCCCTTTTTAATAACATAATTTTGACTTTTTATATACAAACTACAATCATATACTTTTCATATTTATTACTACCTTCGTCCGTGAGTATTGATCCACTTTTGAATTTTTGTCAAAATCGGCAAACTTTGACCACGAATTAAATAAATTTAACTATAAATCGGCAAACTTCATAAAATATTTTTAAAATATTATTTTATTTAATAAATATACCATATATATTTTATTTAACTATAAATCAAATGTCAAAAATGGTTAACTGCAAAAAGTTAAAATTGGAAAAAATATTCAAAGATGAATGTAGTACTTTAAATATTAAAAATGGTTTTAGAAAAGTAAATTTTCTAAATAGTCTTTTATAACGGGAGAATTTACATATTTAGTTCATATTATCAAATATTATTTTCGTGGCCCTTATTGATTGGGTACCATTCCACGCTTGGTCCTTGTCTAACAACACGGAGACAGAAAAATAGACGGAGGACTAAACGTGGAACGATACCCAATTAATAAGGACTGTCAATATAATATCTGATAAATGTGGACTAAATATGGAAACCTCCCATTTATAAAGGACTATTTAAAGAATTTACTCAACAAAAAAATTGAAGAAGAAAGAGTCAAATAGTAAGCATGAGAAAATTTAGCTAAATATGAAGTATTTTTTTAAAAATTGAAATTGTGAATAAAAGGAAGGATAAAATAAGGTAGACCACTATATGAATTGCTAGGACTCAAGGTTAGAATTCAAACTTCAATATATTTAAAATAATAAAATGAAGTAATAATTTGGTATTCGGTAAAAACCGAATTACTGAATTATTGGTGCAAACCGAACCAAAAACCGAATTTTAGCAAAAAGAAAACCGAATACCAAACCAAATTATTCGGTTTGGTTTCGGTACGTACCAAATTTTTCGGTTTCGGGACGGTTCGGTCGGTTTACCGAATTGTGCACACCCCTAGTTAAAATGCCGATACATTGTTTTGCGGTACAACTTGATGTACACTTTTGATATACCCCTGATTGTTCCCTGATTATACACCGTATATTTTTTTTGTCAAATGGTAGACTAAAATATAATTCACCCACTGGTAAGAGATCTTTCTTCTTTTTGCTATCCGTCTCAAAAAGAAATTTACTTTCCATTAGAAAAAATATGTGGTTTCTCTCCCCTCTTATCAATTCTAAATGCACATTTCTCATTTTTCAAAACATTTCTTAAATCACATTAATGCCAAACACAAGATCTTTACTAGAGGGATGTAGAAGAAACAGAAAATCATTTGACCTTTTAAAATTGTAATTGTGAAAAATCAAATGAGACGAAGAAAATATTTATCCCTTATAAATTTGTTGTCCTAGATGAATTTACTACTCGATGTTTTTAATACTAGGGAAAGTTTTATAAAAACTTGTCTCTTTTATATTCTAAATTATTTTTATAAAATTATATTTTCTCTATTCCAAAATAATGTAACACTAGAATTTTCACATCTCTTAATATAAATATAAATTGTTGATATCTTTAATTATGTTTTATTAAAAGCTAGGATGATACTAGTTTTTTTACATACTCCATCCGTCTATTAATTCTTTTCTCTTTCCCACTTTTGTTTTTGGATCATCTCTAAATTTCTTTCTTGTTTTTTATTTTAGCAAAAAACTTTTAATGAATATGTTTTTACAATCCTACTTATCATCTACACTATTCATCTTATTACATCACATTAAATGTAAAGATGGAAAGTCACCACTACAAACTTTAAAAATAATATTGAAGTTTTGTTGATATTCAAATCATCAATTTGAATTGAATGTCACCACTACACTTTAAAAATAATTAATGTTCATATTATGCCTTCATCTGTCATAAATTTTCTCAGATACTAATTTTCTCAGATACTATTTATTGAGTCAAACTTAACTCAATTTGTTTATTTATTTTTACTATTCATTTTATAAATACCATAATACCATTAATTTTGAAGAACTTTTCATTACTTTTTTACTATATAAATTTTATTTTTAAATTTTACTTCTTAAATCAAATAAATTGAATTGAAAATAAAATCGGTTAAACCTCGTAATGCATAATGAGAAAATCTTTGGTTGGCGGAAGAGTTAAACAAAATAAACGTTGGTCTTGGAGAGACGTGTGTTATCTCTAAGACCAAATTCATGGGTCAAAGTAGCATATATTTGACAAAGCGTATGGTTGAGTTGACTTTACGATCTAGTGGCCTGTCTAACTACCAAATTTTGAAAATCCTATGGAGCAAGATTTTATTGGAGACCTGAATTTTGGCTTATTAAAGTCCCACTAAACAAAATTTTTACTAAACAATGATTGTTATTTCTATGTCAACTTGTTTCTTCTCGTAAAATTTTCACACGATCAAGCTTTTTTACTTTGTTTTATTATTTTCCTTATTTATTTCATAATATAATATAAATATGTCATCTCTTGTTTTGTAAAATTTTTTATTTAGTTTTTATATACTTCACTATATATATTTTATTCGTGAATTTTACTCCTAGGCAAAAAACATACACCATGGTACGGGTTCATGGATATGCTCGATATGTACTTCCAAGACTAGTGTAAAAAAGATATGTGCTTGGCCATGAAACCTGGTAAAATCCAACACTAAAGAGAAATTTCCGAAGCTAAAACAACAAACTCAATAAAATCTCTGAAAAGTAGGACCGATGGAGCAGCGTACACGAAAGTAGATAGGTTATTTTCAAGAGACTCCGGCTTAGCATAGTCACAAACCAACCGAAACCAGGACATTTTTAATAACGACTCTTTTAGCTCCATCGGCAATGGATGGCATAATGTAGGTCTTCTTTGAAAATGCAAGGGGTAGACAAGAGGAATTTGTGTGTAGGCAGTATACAGAAACCATTTCATTCAGAGAAGTAGCAGAGAAAATCCTGAGACAGCGCTTGAAGCATACAGAAACAATTTCATTCATCACCAACTTGGATGCAATCAAACAAATTTCAGCACAGAAAACATGTTAGGAGATGGGGCAGGAAATTACACATATTTATGAGCATTGTATGGGGGACCAGCAGGAGAGAATACTCAAACTTATGAGCAAAAAAAGGCCATGGAGTATTTATTTTCAACGATTTGCAGTTGCATAGCACGTCCACGCACAACTGAGTTACGCAGGATGGATGCCTACTCTTGGAAGAAGTTCCCCAGAATCCTTTGATCGAGTACCATATTTGGCACCTGCAAATCATCAAACCCCATAAGTTTATGAAGATGCAAAAGTGGACCAGATGGTGGTCTTACACTAACATTTTGCACAAGTCAAACCAAACATGCCCGGTATATCCCAATCGGATGAGGGGCAATGTGATGTAAGCGGAATTTACTTCTATCTCTAGCCTCTCTAGGTGTGAAGAGATCATTTGTGCCCGGTACGTCCCAATTTGGGCAGGACAGACCTATCAGGCAGCTAGGTAGAGAAGGAATTCAAAAGGTACACACAACCTAGGAGAAGCATATACATTAGGCAGTCGTCTTCCTTCTAAAGACATCTTAACCATTTCAATCTGGAACACTTGAAAATGAATAGAGAGCAGAAGAAATGTGGTCCAACCTTGTTGCCGAAGAATATCTTTGAGTTGTTTGTAATTGCTTCAATAAATTTAAGTTCCAAAAACTGTGGAGTGAGCTTTAACTTGTTAGCTTCTGCTTCTTTCATCGTGCTGATAAAGACCACAGAAATGCAAGGCTCGTCATCTTATTAGCACTCATGAAACACTGTTATAGAAAGAAGAGGCTAAACAAACAAAAACGTAAAGAAGGTTTCACCTATAGTATGCAGCATCTGCCAAACTTCTTTCACGAGCCAAGTACATTGCATTAGCAATTTCTTCTTCCTTCCTTGCACTGTCTTTCTCCATCAACTTCTGTTCCATTTGGATCTTGCTGACATGAGCATTCTTTTCTGCCTCGCTAATAGCAATCTTCTTTTGTGTCTCTGCTTCTTTCTCTGAAACTCTCTGTCTCTCCACAGCAATCAACACCTACATGTGAAGCATTCTTTGTCACCAGTTTTTCTAATTTTTTTTACAAGTACAGGAAAATAGCAAGTTCTATATCACAAACAGAAAACCAAAAAAAGAAGAGAAAGAACACGGAAGCACACACACACACACACACACCCTCTCTCTCTCTCTCAAACAAACAAAACAGGTAGTCAGTCAATTTACATGTACTCAATTTACATGTAACACTTTCCCAATGTCCTAAACATTACCATTGCACCAAAGCTTTCCATGTGTAATGCACAGTTTCAGGACCTGTAAAACATCATTCACACATGGGCCTTACATCAAAACACTACCAAAACATCATTGTTATAGAACATCATTCAACATAGTTGTATTATCTCCCTACACAAACTTCTCTTTAGTGTACGGAAGCTTATTTCAGGTTCTTTCTTCCAACACCTGCATGACCTCCCTCAAAACATCCATGTCTGTGTACATACAAAATGAGAGCAAGATATGTCCCACTAGCTTCTCCATGCCTATGTGTGATAGCATGCATTAATTATTACCCATGGCTTCCATGAAAATTGTCTAAACACGTTTGGAGCGACAATCATACATGGATCAAGCTTTGGCCTTTGTGTACTAAATTTTTCAAATGCCTTCTTCACCCTTCAACTGATCCAATCAATTTTATAGTGGCTAAGGTTGTTGTAAAGATTACCCTAAACAACCCTAGGTCTAGGGCTCAAGATTATGGTTATTAGGAAGTTGAATGAGAGATAGCAAAGCCATCTCAGGTAACTTCTTAACAAACTAACTGTTGTTAGGTCCAATATGGTAGTTTTTTTTTCTCTTGGCGCCACTTTTAAGGGTAAAAATGGAAAGTCAAAGCCAAAAATTTTAGTTCTAAAATTGAGTGTCTAGTTACCCTCAGCAATTATAAAAGGGACAGAGGGAGTATAAAAATTTAGTCTCTTAGTTGTTATGGAGTATATTATATCCCCTCCATCTCAATTTGAAATTCCACTTTGACTAATCACAAACTCATAGAGTTTAAGAGAAGTATTGAAAAATGAAATGTGTGGTTAGGATTGATATGAAACCAAGAAAAATAATGATAGCCACATAAAAAAAAGAAACACTTTTATTTTGGGACAAACCAAGAAGGAAAAAGTGCCATTTGTTTTGGGACAAATTAAGTAACTTAGATAATTAGAGCCTTGCACTAAGATCACTGTTTTACACCGTTAAGTATAAGAGTTCAGGGGGGACATTCTCCATTTCAAGTTATTATATATTGTCAGGCATGTCCTTATAAACCTTGCTACTAAATGATGGTTAATGGTTTAAAAGGACTAAATGTATCTTAATTATAACAATTAAGTGGCTTAATTTACGAAATCTGAAAAATAGGTCCTAGATTGCATAATGCTAAACAATTGAGAGGCTAAACGTGCAATTTTCCACGGAAATCTTCCTTATGCATTAGTCATCTCTAGTGAAACTACTATAAAAGCTAAATACAAAAAAAGACTAGCAATGTTTTATGTACTGCTTCATGTAGTTATGTTATCTTTGGTCTAAATGAAGAAATGGAAGAAATAGAGAATTATGGGATGGATAACATTCTTAGATGTATCACCTTAGTGCGCTCCTCTTCCATGTGTTCGAAGTTTCTTCTTATGCTTTCTGGGATTTTTGGCTTTGTGACACGCACGCTAATAATTTCAATGCCAGGAGCATAACGTGTGCAGTCAGCCTGAAGAGCATCCTTCATTTTCTCGTCAATCTAGGAATTTTAACAATGAACCTCAGTAAAGTTATCAAAAGAAGCATTCAACAAAACAAGAAATACATTTTTATTTAGCACATCCTGCGGAGGAGTGAATCCTTTTCCTTTAAAAATAAACAATCTTGATTGAGCAAAAGGTTGTGCATAAGAAATATCAGTCACAGATGAGAAATATTGAACTATTTAAGTAAAATTAGCCATGAAAAGTTGTTATCAACTTCTTGATTTTCTTAAAATACGGACACCCAGCTCAGAATTCTTTTCAGATGACGGGACATGGTAAAATGCCTCTAATGCCCTTATTTCATGATTCAATGTCTTGACTTGAACCAGAGTCACAGTCAGGGCTATCTACACCCTCTCTGTCAAAAAATACACAGAATCTCATACACAACACGTAAATGTATATATCTTACTTGATCAAACATATCAATATAAACTTGTTGAAGGCTGTGGCTGCTGCAGAACTGATTAATTTCGTGATGGATTTTGTCATATATCCATGTATTGTCATAATTCACTCCATAGTTGAGCAGAGTGTCATACACATAGTCCTTACGAAGGCGGTTAACGACCTAAACACATAGTGAGGAGATAACAATGTCTTAAAAACAGCATTAGTCAGAAAATTAGAATGGATGTGTTCGAAGAGACCTCATTTCTAAGGTTATACCTCAATTTTCTCAAAGTTGATCATCACACCTCCTTTTGTGCCGCATGGAATATCTCTTACCTACAGTTTAGCAAGAACTCAATAACACTATTAGCTAAACTTAGAAACAGCATCCAGTAGGAACAAAGAAAAAGTTATTGAGAGAAAATCTTACCAAATCTGTCTGGAGAGTTACTTGAATGGGCTCAAAGTGAGTAATCAGAGGCAGTTTCAAATGATAACCTGAAAAGAAGCACGAATATTTAATGATCACAAAAAATGAAGATTAGAAGAATTAATTGTATGCAATGGAAGTGGAAATTAAATGTAAACAAAAAATAATAATGAAGAATCACGATTAACCTGGGTCTGTTATTGTGCTTAAAAGTGCACCTCCTCTCCAGTAGACGCCAACATGACCTTCTGGAACTTGATGTAAGGTAGAAAAGATGTTAGTCGACAGTGAAGGGGCGACCACCTGCAAATGGAAGAACTTTAATTCATTACTAAACTAGCCCTTGAAGAGCATCCCAATGTGAATAGAAGTAAATGTTAGAAAAAGGAAAACATCAAGTGATTTTTGGATACTCTATCGTGCACTCATGTTCTTTAGATCATTCAGAGTTATAACCAGCAAGGAAATCAATGCAAAGCTACTGCAAGAGGATCAAGATAACATCCCTTTCAAATCATAAATGCAACAGCTCAGTCCATACACTTTTTAATGCTTAATTTCTTATAATAATGTCTCGTATAATAATCTGGCCAAGTGTTAAGAATAAGATAAACTATAAAACTAGTCTGCCAATATATCGAATTCCATACTTAACGCGAAAGCACTGTTCGAATCAAGGAAATGTGGAAATGTAGAAATGCACAAATCAAACACCGTGTCCATAACGTTTGAAAGATAAACAATACCAAAATATGGAGAAGCAAAAACAAATCACGTATATATCCCCCGGAATCACTGAGCTCGCGCAGTCGAGCACAGAGATTCGAGCATAAGAACAGGAGAGGGGAGTTACCACGGCGAAAATAGCAAGGAAGGAGAAGAACACGAAGAGAATGGGACTTAAATCGCCTCCGCCGGCAGAGGTGCCGGCCGCACGAGGCGGCTGATCGCGCCGAGCAGCGTCTCTCTGCTGTTGATGCGCATCCATGGCGGCGGCTCCGCAGTCGCTTAGCTTGCCTGGCACTCCTCCGCTGCTTCCCTCTCTGTCCAGTGGGAGTCTCCGTCGCCATTTATATGGGCCCAAGGCGGGAGCGTGGGCTTGGGATTTCGGTTTCAACAATACTTCTTCGAAACTCCAATGAAACTTCTTCTACCAATCACATAACCAAATTGAATTTAACTGTGAACAAGTCACGTCAAGTCCTTAACTTTGTTCCCAACTTGTCACGGCCCACGAGACACTGAATGATATGACTGCCTATATTTATGCCAAACATTCAAATTCATAAAATGTAAATTAGAAAATGTTAGGGTGCCACCACATGGGTGCTACCATGGGTGCACCAATGCTTCGCACAGACAAACACAGACGATAATTGTCTGTGTCGCACAGACAATTATCGTCTGTGTTTGTCTCTGCGAAGCATGAGTGCACTCATGATAGCACCCATGTGGTGGCACCCTAGCATGGTCCATGTAAATTTCTTCCGCCCAAACAATATTTATCGAAAAATGCTAGGGGTACACGGTGTACCTCATTTGTCCCTCACCCCTTCCATAACCACAAAAAAGACAAGAGACTAAAAAAATTATATAAATAAAAATAAAATAAAATTGAGTGGTAGAGAGAGGGGTGAGGGACAAATGGGGTACATCTTTGGTGTACCCCTAGCATTGCTCATATTTATCACATCATGTAAAATAAAGTTTGGTTGATAAATGTTTGCCACATTGCCATTGGAGCTCCGTCATGGGTCACCAGAGCGCCACCCTGAATCCTCGAAGGATCGTCGCAAGTGTTGACCACTGTACCGTTGACCGATAGTCCACCACACTCTATCATCACACTACCATCATTCATACTGCCAAACTTCTATTTAGGAATAAAAACAATGTTACAGTTATTTTGGTATTTTGATGAATTATTACTCTTACATAGGGATATTTTTTAAACTTTATTTATTTTGTTTGATTATTTTCATTATTTGATTTATAAAATAATAAAGTGATGTCATTTCTTATTCTGTAGAATTTTTTATATAGTTTTTTAAATCCATAATGTATAATTTTAACTTTTGGATTGAAAATAATTTATGTTAAACCTCGTCACACGTAATGGAAAGAATTTGCCAACAATTTTAACTCAACTATTTTTAATTCCGTGTTTTGCATGGTTTCTTATATAATCTTAACTTTTTAACATTTTTTATATTGTATGGAGTATTTTAATTTTAAAATATACTATTTCCGTTCAAAAGAGATTTTCTCATTTTGATTTACGAGCTAGAGGTTATACTAAAGCTATTAATTTATATGAAAATGAGTATGAAATTTACAAATAAGATTTATATAGTGAGTTCGACGGTGATGTTGTGCACGACGTTAGAGCAGCGTGGGCTAAGTGGAGGTTGGCTTCAAAAATTCTCTGTAATCAAGAGATTTTGGCTAGACCAGGAAAAATGGTCAGTCAGGTCGGGTTCAAGTTTGGTATTATCAGGTTCGGGTTATTTCGGGTTCGAGTCACTTCGGGTTCGGGTCTAAGAGTGCTTGTTCATGACCCAAAGTTATCGGGTTCGGGTTGACCCAACGGGTTAAGAGGCGTATTTAAAAATTAAAATTTTTGCTATTTAGAGATCATGTAATCCGATCATTATTCAAAACAAAGAACGAAATCATAAAAATTTGCAGTTCTATTTGCAACATACCAAAAGAGAATTGCTATACCAAAAAAATCACCATTTTGCAACATACCAAAAAATTGTAGTAGATGAAAAAATGAAGATTCTTTCAACATACCCAAAAATATATATGCATTATAAAAAATTGAGATTCCTACGCCATACCAAAACAAAAGAAAAGAATTAAAACTTGAGTTACACGTAGGAGCAATTGAAGGCGATGAAATAGGATTAAAAATTCCACTATTGATCTTGTGTCTTCTCACCATTTTGATTGAGTCGGCATCTAATATCGACGAACGGTGGAAGAACGATATATATATATATATATATATATATATATATATATATATATTCATATTTTAAATGAATATATAAAACTAAATAACTAATAAAAATAAGCAATTAAGTGCACAACCCGTCGGGTCAAACCCGACCCGACCCGTTCTGACCCGAAAATTTAACGAGTCTTCGGGTTCGGGTCGCAAAATCAATGTTCAAAACTCGCTAGTTTCGGGTCGGGTTTTGGATTAATAACGGGTCGGGTCAAATTTTGCTAGGTCTAATTTTGGCTATCATGAAAGGTAAGTTTTACCGGTCCGTAGTTAGATGAGTTATGTTGTATGGTGTGGATCGAAGTGTTGGGCAATTAAGAAAATTCACATTCGTCGACTGCATGTTGCAGAGATGCGGGTGTTTCGGTGAATGTGTGAGCAGATGAGGTTAGATAAGATTCTAAACGAGGTTGTTCGATGACGAGTATGCATGGTGCATGTTGATGATAAGCTATGGGAAGCTAGATTAAGGTGTTTTGGGCACGTGAGCGACGAGATACCAACGCCTCAGTGCGGATATGTGAGAGACGTTATTAGTTGATGAGAGTAGGGTTTGGGGTAGACCTTAGTACACTTGGAAGGTCGTAATTGGAGAGGACGTAAGATCTCTTTTCCTAATTGGGGATATGACTATAGATGTGTTTGGGGACTAGGATTAAACTAGTTGGGTAGACACTTTGAGCTAGGTGGTAGTTGTTTCTAATTGTAATATTTATCTTTTGTTATCATTAGTTTGTTTTTTGCCTCTATTTGCTTTTTATTTTATGTATCCTTGAATATCCTGCGCTCTTTTATTATTAATATTGTTTGAACCGGGGGTTTCTTGGAAACAATTTCTTTACTTTTTGAGTAGGGACAGAGTCTGCGTACACACATTCTCTCCAGACTATACTCTCGTGGGATCAAACTAAGTAATTGTTGTATGGCAAAAAAAACATAAATGAAAAAAATTTTAAAAATGGTAAATGAAATTTACTAAAAATTTATGTCAAAGATTTTGTGATCCAAGGACACCAAAGTGACTCTTCCAAATGAGAGGTGAGATATCCAATTTTCACTGAAGGTGGTAACTCTCTATGTTATAATTAATATGTTAAGAAAACTAAGGTGACTCATCCAAATGGGAGGTCACACGTTCAATCTTTAGTGAGACAATAACTCTTTATGCTACAATAGATCAAAGAAATCACATAAGTAAAATAGATAAAAAGGTATCAAAATATGAGTTTTATATTTTTATACTCAAAATAAAAGTTTGTATTTTGGTAATATGACACTATATATGAACATTTTAGAATAGTTTTTGATAATATATAGCCATGATTGATGGTGTATATATATATAAACAAACGTTATAATTGTAATAGAATTATTAGAGATTAAATAAAAGAAATAAAATTTTACGAAAAATTGGTTGATAAGGAGAAAAGTTGAACCAAACCAGTTTGGTGCCCGGTTGGGGGTTTAATAACACTACCTGGGGCAACTTTCTGGGTGTTCAAACCAAACCCCAAATTGGAAGAAGAATCGGAGCAAATTGGAAGAAATGGGCCAAAACACAGGCGCCAAAGGTAAGCGCAAGAGGGAAGAGATTGTGAAAGAGGAGGAGAAAAAAGACGAAGACGATCGGGAAGAGCAGGACGTCTTGTCCGTCCATTCCCCTTGCAAATCTCTGCCTTCATCTCTCTCCAAGGTCTCTCTCTGTCTCTATATGCGCGTGTCTGTATCTATAGATCACAATATCGTTTACATCTATGGATGAATTCTATCAATTATGTGTTTTTACTGAGTTTCTGAATTTCAGGAGCAACTGGAGGTGGAATTGGAGCTGAAGGTTTTGGAAGCTCTTGAAATCTATCATCCTGCGAAATTACAAGGAAAATCTTCTTCCCATTTTGTGCTCTAATTTTCCATGTTTTTTTGGTTATGTTAAATCTAAGTGTATGTTAAGTTTATGTAGAATTGAGTGAAATCCTATGTTTAAATTTCAGGAAGTTTGTTTCAAATCATCATATCCAAACATGCCATGATATTGATTGTTTTTTTAAGGATGAAATTAATAGTTTTGTGAGCCCTTATGTTTCCAAGTTGAAAAAAAATCGGGATGATTTTTTTCCCTATGAAACTGAAGACAAAGGATAGAAAAGCCCCTTAGTTTTGGCAAATTTTGAATACTCGTCAATTCTGTATAGATGCTAATTTTTCCATGAGTTTGGAATTTGATGAAGATCCTAGCTATTCTGGCTATATTGATTTGCCATTGTTTCTTCACCTTTTTGGGGACAACATTTTATTTTGTTTACATTAAAAACATCAAACAGCTCACACAAACATCTCATCTCATCAAACTGTTTTACCTAAACAACTATCCCAAACCACTTACACAAACATCTGACAACTAACACATGCATGCCAAACACCAAAGTTTTCTCCTACAAATCACATTTTCCTTCTTTCGGTGGGATGCTGAGGTGGATTTGGTGTTTCTTGCAGGAATCCATCGTCACTTTGTCCTCTATGGCTTAGCAGAATATCTTAGACGACGGTTTGTATCGTTCTTAACCTACTTGTAGAAAAACTCAAGAAGAAAAATAAGTCATATAGGTCATACATGTTTATGTTTACCTTATCATCCTTGGCATTCACACAGAGGAAACGTTTTGCAGTTTTAATAAGCACTTCAGTGCTGATGAAGTTCTGAAGCTGTTGGATCGCTTCTACAACTTGGAAATGCTGGTTTGTAAAAACAATGATATAATCTTTAGTTTTTTGGAAAGAACCTCTCTACTTCCAAGTAGGGGTAAGGTTTGGGTACACACACCCTCACTAAACTCTACTTCTACGGGTGTCTACTAGGTTAGTTTGTTTGTTGTTGTTGTTGTACAATATTTAGTTCTCTCTATTCATTCATTCATTCATTTCTGTGTGGTTCTCATGCAACTAGGAGAGTGTGCTCACAACATTCGGTAGTAACTTTATGTTATGGTGCACATTCAGAGTTCTACTAGAAAAGTCCCTGTTTGGTGGAAAAACTCTTTTGCTTATAAGCAAAATTTTCTACTAAACAATAACTATTGTGATTGAGCTGCCTGAGTTGTCCATGATGGGAAAAACAGTGCATAGAATACTTTTACTGAAATGAGAGGAAATGGACACTCTTTCCCTGATGCTTTGGATAATGAATTTTCATAAAGTTATCAATAATGCTCTATACTTTTTAAAGTTTCTTTATATATGCATAGTCTAGTCATTTAAACCACATTTAGAGCAACCTAAGTCATTCCCGCCAAATATAACCCTTACTATCTCACCCAATGTTCTGCTAAAATCATTGGCATTTGTATGGTTCAAGTTTGTGCATCAATACGTCCAAATTTTCTTTTAAGTATCTTTGATGCTTGCTTTTTGCGTGTGGATAAATTTAGGAGCCAGATGATGACACCGAAATTCTGAACCAGGAGGAAGATTTTTGTCTCCCGTCGAGTTTTTTCTCCAAGGAAGAATCTTAACAGGCAAAAATGGGAGGTGTGAAGTCATATAGGCGAATATGGTAGCATCAAATTTTTATCTTTTGTTTTCTGGAAAATGCTACTTTAAACCCAAGTGTGATACTAAGGTCGACACTACTAAAAACAATCACATACAAGCAGTCCATGTCTATGAGACAGTCATTGTTTGTGAGACATTGATGATGTCAACCTTGGTGCCATCTTTGGTGTGACTATATCATAACCCTTGTTTTTCAGGATGGTTACTTTCATAGTATCATACTGTTTTCTAGATGTATATATTGAAGTATCGGTTTGCAGAGTCAGATGTCAAGTAAGTAAATCATATTGTTAACTACATCCGCAACTTGATGAATTCCAAGCTATCTAAGTATTAGTATCTACTCTGTTCATCCCCAATGGCGACCGAGGCAGACATATCGGTTGGTAGTTAGCAATATAGCATTTAGTAGGTCGGCAAGGTTCCAATGACATTGAAACCCAATGTCATATTATGACATCGGACACCTACAATGCTACGTTCATAAGATTGATGGTTCATACCCTAACTCCTTGCACCCCACCCTAGCCCTCCCTTTGGATTACCGAAAGCTACAATATTTACTACAGCATTTCGGCGATCCGGGAAGGGGAGGGGGGCCGAGGTGGGTTTGGGGGTAGGAACGATTAGCACCGTAGGTGCTCTATGTCATGTTATGCCATTGAGGTTCAATGTTATTTTAACCAAAGAGCTAAGTCTATGTCTGGTGGGGTAAATTATTTTTCTGAACTGAAAAGAAAAGAAAGTACACCGTATATTCTTTTTTTTACCCATCATCAATGTCCATGATTAAGCACACATTTAAAATCTTGCAAAATTGCAAAGGTATAAAAGATACTTCCTCCATCCCATGTTTTTCATGTCTTATATTGACCATCTTAGAATACTTTTTTACTTTCCTTCTAAAGAAAGAAAATTTATAGTTTATATTTTTTTATTTTTTATTTTGTAAAATTTCTTGTTAAACATGAACATATCTTAATTTAAATTACGTCAACCAGTTACGTCATGCCGTTTGTTTTAATCGTCCTCTATAGTAGACCAAGCTTAGCTTGGCTTGCTTGTACTATAAAGTCAAGAAAAGCATCATATATTCACAAATCACAACTAGTTAATAACTACGTTAGTTTTTTTACTACTCCGTAGTATATTAATTTAAAAGTTCTTACTTTGAATCCCAAATATATAATGAATCCCTTTCAGCCGCCGCCTCCAACCGCGGCGGAGCAAGGCGGCGGCGGGACTGACATCTCCGCCTTGCACCCGGACATAATAGCCACCCATATCCTGACTCGTTTGGATGGCCCCACACTCGCATCCACCGCCTCTGCTTCTTTCGCTCTTCGCCGCCTCTCCTCCCAAGCTGAGTTGTGCCTGAACAAATGCCACTCAGCTTGGCCCTCCACCGCGGCTCCTTCAATCACGAATGTCATCTCCGCCTTTCCGAATGGCGGCCCACGCGCCTTCTTCGCGAACTCCTTCCCGCTTCCGGGGTTGGTGGGCCCGCCTGCGTCGTCTTTGCCTCAACCGGTGGAGTTGATCTCCGCCGTCGATATATGGTACAAAGATGTGCTGATATTCAGTGGGATCGATGTGATGGAAACTTGGAGCGCGTGGTTTCGCCATTCGCTTTTCAGGGTTGACCTTGTTGACCCGTGGGACGCCGACCTTGTGCCCATTCGATGCCTCGACGAAGTTGACACGTGGAGTGTTCGTCTTATGGAGGACCTGAGCTTGAGCTGGATATTAATTGACCCGGCCTCCATGCGCGCTGTAAACCTGTCTTCTCAAAAGCCAGTTTTTGTGCAGCCCCGGTGGCCAGCTGACGAAGTGCGGGCAATGTTTGCTTCGATTCTACCAGCGGCCATGGGTCCCGCGCTGTGCCCGATCATGGTCACCGTCGGTACGGACCACGGCGGCGAGCCGCACGTAAGGGAAGTGAGCATGCAAATGGAGGACTTTGATGGAAATGTACTCGATGGAGAAGACAGTTTGGTGATATTGCAAATGGCTCTGGAGGGCAAAAGGGGAAAAGGAGTCAGAAGGGTAGAAGAGTCAAGGAGGAGATTCAAAGAATTTCTGGATTTGAAGAAACAAAGAGAATGGAGAAAACTAAGGGCAAAATGGGCATTCAAGGCATCCGCCTTTGTTGCATTTTCCTTTTCCCTCTTATGCATCGTCCGATTACTGGTGAGGAATGGTTGGACCAAAAATAAAGTCCAAACTTGAACTCAGACAAAAAGAAATTTCCCTTCAAAAATCAGGCTCTTATAGAAATGCTAAAATGCACAAATTTACCATTTGTGAACCAAGTATAAATAAAATAAAATGGACACAATGCTTACTGTTTAGAGGGCAATCTTGACATTTCCCAATGATTTGTTCTCTAAATAAGTGAACAATCAACTTCAGACAACCCAAAAAAACCAATATGGGGGGAAATATTATTTATGATAGACTTGCATTCAAAACTATGTTCAGTATAAAAGCATTCATTTCACTTACAAACCCAACCAAAAAATGAAGAAAAAAAGGGGATGAATGAATACAAAAAACAAAAAAAAAACTTTTTTTCCCCATCTATCTGTTGCGCTGGGGTTAATTTCTGAAGAGGAGATCCAATCTACACCTTTCAAAATTTAGAAATTACCAGGGTAAAATTCCACCTTCTTTGGGCTCCCATCCATAGGAACACAATGTGAAAGCTGTGAGTTGGGAATGTTTTTGGCAGAGACTCCATTGAACAAAATTTGCCTCTCAAGAAGAAGAGAAAATCTAGAGAATTACCCGTGTTAACCGAAGATCACCTCGTTGCTGCGGCAGTTTTTCATATCTAAACTCTCTTTGACAAAAAAAAATTATTATTTTTTGAGGAATGGCTTTTGGCAAACAAGTAGGCGCCGGTCGCTTCCATTCTGGAGGTCAATCACTCTGGCTTCCCAACGGATCTGTGTGGCAAATGCCCTCGCCTTCTCTATGATGTTCACTTTGTCTGAGAGAATGATCCATCCCTGTTTATAATAATAACACCAAAGGTTTATACTTCAAGCAACGGTTCACATATAGTTGATGTGTTTGTTTTAGGCTTTTAGCTTATTGATTGAAACTGATTCAGTTGTAGGGGAGCAGTAATAAAGAGAACCCATTTGGCAGGCTAGTAGATGGTAATGCAAAAAAAACGTAGTTGCTTCTTTTGGATGGAATTGATACTTCTACCTTTTTTTAGAAATCATTTTTTTTTAGATAGTGTTTAGAAAGTAGGAATTCATTTGAATTTTTAGATTTCAAATTTAAAATTTGGGGTAGGGAATTCAAATTACAAGGGAGAGTGTCTAAATTTGTAATTGGGCTTTGTTGGGAATTTGAAGGATTTTGCCAACATCCAATTTTTTTTGGATTCCCAAACACACACCCTCCCACCTCCATTCGTAAATAAAATTTTTGGAGGGATTTCCGTAGTTTTTTAAAAATCATTTTATTTGAAAATTGGTGTAGAAATAAAAAAAAATAAAACTTGTATATACTCCATCCGTCCCAAAATTGGGGTCTCACTTCAAACAACGTGCAACATCTCATTTCATTTAGATCTATTTTGTTTACAAATCGGGATAAAAATAAAATGTACAAATCATATATTTAAAAACTACACCAAAAGTTCTACTGAATAAGAGGTGACAAGAATATTTTATTTTATAAAATGATCAAAGAAAACATTCAAACAAATAAAAGTTATCGAGAGGCCAGAGTAGTAATCGTGATGATAATTTTGAGACGGAGGGAGTATATAAACTACATTAAAAGTTCTATACCAATGAAAACACATAAATAAACAAAACTACTTGCTGTGGCCTTACCCTAGAATAGTAACTGGTAATTTTATGTACGGACATGGGAGTATATATATGTCCCTAGATGCATCAACAAATCAAAAAAGTAAAGAATAGGTAAACAGAAATATCATTTACCTCAGGCCGCAAAATACGATCCATTTCAACAAGAACGTCAATCATACTGCAGCTTTGCGAACTAAGGTGTGAAAAGAGTCCATTGGCATGAAGCATGTCATATGTTCTGGGGTATGTAGGAAAAGCTTCACACCTGACCCAATTTTAGAATTCAAAAACAGCTGTCAAGAATATGTGAATATATTTCCACCGGCGACCATATTTCATGAACATTGTTATGAACACCTGGCACAATTTTATGAACACTCTCTTGAAGCAAGTTTCATTTATGCCACCGGTGACATGTGGGGCTTTATGCAAACAATATGGCTCCGTTTGGTACATGGAATTCAAACTATGGAATTGGAATTGAGAATCTCAATTCCAATTCTAGCGTTTGGTAGCACAAAAATTATGTGGATTTGGAATTGGTAGTGCAAAAAATGAATTGAAATTGGTGAATTCAATTCTATGGAATTGAATCTCATGGAATTATAATTCCAATTCAATTCCAATTCCTACCAATTCCGTGTACCAAACGGACCCTATGTGAATTTATATCCACTTAAGTACATGCATACATTAGCAGATTAAGATATGAGTGGCTGAGTGCTATCATGTACGTGTTTCAGAACACCATTATGAGAAAACATACAAAGTATATGACTAGATGGAAGCAAAAGAAAAAATGTGTTATCATCTACAACCAAATGACATGTGCTCTGAAACGTAACATAAATCTCCCATGTTAATTCCTAAACAGCTAAACTTTTTTCATGCAAAATCAATAACACACAAGCATCTTCCCTGTAGAGTTTTAGGGATTTATAAAAATAGCAAAGCATGCGTAAAATATAATGGAAGCTAGTAAATAAATTACTATTTTCACTCATAATACTTTCCATGAGAAAGGATTTCCATGTGTAAAATGTGGAGGAAGTGTTCTCTTTAATGGGATCACCAGTATAAAGTTTCTTTTGATGACACTATATACAAGTCTAAATGTTCCACATTAAATGAAACAGACTGAGAATTTACCAGTTATGTAGAACACCTATGAAACCTCGATCAACTATGAGAGGAAGTGTATTGCGCATCCCCAGTGGCACAACATTCATAACCCATGCTGATTTTCTTGCATCAGAAAAAGCAGCATTCAAACCACCATAATGTGCATTCATATCCATCACGTTACGAACCATATTATATGGGGGCAGTGGGTCCTCATCACCAGGTCTCTTTGGATGGTCAGAGAAAATCAATGGTGAAAGAAGTGACCAATAGTTTCTTAATGAAGATCTCCAGAACTCTGAGTCTTCAAAGAAATCGTCATTATGAACACCTGCTGCACA